TTCCTGCTTGGTAGCAGTCTGCTGGAGGATAGGCAGAGGTGTCCACCACACCTCCCACCACTAATTTCTTCCCTCGTCATCGTCTGCTTGACCCGTAGGCATTTTTTTCGTGCCTTCTGCTCTGGGTGTTCAAATGAGCCAGACACCATATGAGAAAACGCTGGTAAATGTTCTGGTGTAGGCAGCCTCTTGGATGGCCCCCAATATTCTATCTGCTGCTGTTCATCCGTCGTATAACCCTCTTCCCATGAGACCTGGAGACTTGCTTCTAATGGAACACAGCAAAGGGGATGGGATGCCGCTTCCGAGGTTAAGGTACAAAAGACTGTAATGGCCATCTTGTTCGTTGGTTCTCTCTCCCTCTCCTTTTGCTTACCCCGATGAAGCAGGCTTCCGTCTGGTGAGCTGCCCCGTGAAGAGGCCACATGGTAAGGAACTGAGGGCAGCCTCCAGCCGACAGCCTGGGAGGAACTGAATTCTGCCAACCGCAAGTGAGCTCAGAAGCAGATCCTCTGGTCAAGCTTTCAGATGATTACAGCCCTGGCTAGCACTTTGCAGCCTCGTTAGAGATCCTGAGATAAAAGGCCCATTGAAGCCACATCCTGACTCCTGAGCTAGAGAAACTGAGTTGATAAATGTTGTTTTAAGCTATTACATTTTGGGGTGATTTGTTATGCAGCAATAAGTAACCAATACACACCCAGTTCTCATAGCTGTTACAATTGCCTGACACTATGGTCATTCCACAGCTACACCGAGCGTGAGCCAGGCGCCATTCCAGGCATCTGGGATACATCAGTGAACAAAATAGATAAAGACCCTTGCCCTCTTGGAACTCATATTCTAGTGGGGATGGTTCACATAAACACATAGTAGACATCTGGGTTGGCAATACGATTCTGAAGGAAAGACGGCTCCCTCAGCTCTTTGAGAGAGGTGCTTAACCTCTTTCTGATCTTAGACCGCCTTCGAAACACCAATGAAAGCCACGGACTATTTTTTAGAAAAACGTACATGCATATAGAATTTTCCATGCAATTTTAGGGATTTTCAGAAGAATCCTTGCGGTCTGAACTGTGAGGAGTCTTGTGAAGAGCATTGTTTTAAAGTGCTGCAGGGGATGTTCGGGGAGCTGTGTGGAATGCGCCCCCAGGCCTGGGTGCTCAGAGCAGGCTGTTCCCCTGAAAGTCATAGGCGAGTGAGATTTGAGGGATGGGTGGCAGTTTGTCAGGCAGGGGGTGCGGTGGGTGGTGGGTTCTGAGTTGAGTGGTGGGAGGACAGTGGTGAGGAAGGTGGGCACAGGTCCCTGCCCTCCGGCCCATACAGTCCATCAGAGGAAATGGACACATTGGGGTGAGTTTTGTCAAAGAGAAATTTGGATGTTATGTAGGTCACAGAGCAAAGGATTATATTGCTGGAGATAGGCAAGGAGGCTTCCCCAAGGAAGTGACCATTAAGTCAAAATCTGAAGCTTTAGCTAGGCCTGGACAGGGGAATGTTCCAGGCCCAGGAGGAACTTGAGGCGGGAGAGAACATGGAGTATTAATGGGCAAGAAAGCACAATGGTGGAGGGAGGCCAGAGGGAGGCTGGGGACCGCAGGTGAAGCCCGACAGACTCGGGGCACTGTTGGGGGTTTGTACATTTCCTTCATCATCATGAGAAGCTTCCCGGGAGTGGCCTGATTGAATCTGTGTTTCCAGTAGGTCATTCTGACTGGACGGTGGGGTCATGTGCGTGGTGTAATCGGAAAGGCCAGGTGGAAAGCGTTGCAGGAGTCCAGGTGGGAGCTGATGATGACTTGGGCTTGGGGGATGGCAGTGGACGGAGATGAGTGGTCTTTAAGCGTAGGAACCACAGGCTCACTGGTAGGTTGGACGTGGAGGTGAGGCTAGGAACAAAGTCATGGTGATTCCAGTTCCGTGGCTTAAGCAACTGGGTGGAGGGTGGTGCTTTTAAACCAGACAGGCAACAGTAGAGGAGGAGCAAATTAGGGAAGGCATAGGTCATTTTAGTCCTTACCGAGCGCTTCTTACTCTTAGAAGATCCAGTACAATTGGCCCATGTCTGCTTTTCCAGCTGCAACCTCACAGTCCCCTCATTCCGTGTGCTTCATCCACTCTGGCCCTTGTTCAGTTCTCTGAAGGTCTCAGGCATCTTCCTGTTGTAGGACCTCTGCATATATTGTGTCTTTCTCTTAGGAGATGATAAATCTGACTGATCGAGATATAGAAAGCTACGTTCAGATCTTAGCACAAGCAGCCTCCTTACGGACTCCTCCCTGACCTCCAGTCTAGGTCAGCATCCTCCCGCCTCAATGACATGTTCTCATAGCACCATATCTGTTTCCTCCATGGCATTTCCCTTAGATGGAACTGCACTTCCTATGTGACTTTTCGATTGATTCGTCTGAGTCTCTCTCCCACTGGACTTTGTGTTCCCTGAGAGTAGGGTCTGTGTCTTATTCACAATCAAATCCCTCATGCGTAAACACATGCAAAGGTGTTTTTAAAATTTTTTACATTGAGATAGGATTCGCATGTCATAAAATTCATTCTTTTAAAAAGCGTACAGATGTGGAGAAAAAGGAACCCTCATACACTGCTGGTGGGACTGCAAACTGGTACAGCCACTATGGAAAACCGTATGGAGTTTCCTCAAAAAACTAAGAATTGATCTATCATATGATCCAGCAATCCCTCTGCTGGGCATTTACCCCAAAGACTTGAAAACTCATCCAAAAAGATATTTGCACACTAATGTTCATAGCAACATTATTCACAGTGGCCAGGACATGGAAGCAACCAAAGTGTCCTACGATAGATGATTGGCTACAGAAGCTGTGGTACATATATATAATGGAATATTACTCAGCCACAAGAAGAGATGAAATATTGATTGCCATTTGTGACAACATGGATGGACCTTGAGATAATCATGCTAAGCGAAATAAGCCAGACAGAAAAAGTTGAAAATCACATGATATCACTTACATGTGGGATATAAATCTAAAAGCAACCAATGAGCAGGACAAACAAACAGAGACTCATGGACATGGACTACAGGCTAGTGGTTACTAGTGGGATGGGGGAGGAAGGGGGAGGTAGACGGGTAAAGGGGGTTAAATATAGGGTTTAGGCGGAGGGTGAAGTGGGTAAAGGGGATCAAATATATGGTAGCTGAAGGAAACTGGACTTCAGGTGGTAAACATACAATAGAATATACAAATGTCAAATGGTAATGTACACCTGAAAATTATATAGTTGTATTAACCAGTGTTACCCCAATAAACTTAATTAAGAATTTTAAAAAAGCGTACAGTTCAGTGGATTTTGGTATATTCAGAGTCGTACAACCATCACCAACATCCGACTGCACAACATTCTCATTGGCCCAGGAAGAAACCCATGCCCATCAGCAATCACTTCCAATTTTTCCCTCTCCTAGTTCCTGGCAACCACTAGTCAGTCTACTGCTGTCTCAATGTACCTGCCTCTCCTGGGTATTTCATATAGTGCCGTCATACAACATGTGTTGTTTTTGTGTGTGTCTGGCTTCTTTCACTGAGAATAATGTTTTCAAGGTTCATCCATCTTGTAGCATGAATCAGTACTTTAATCTTTTTTATGGCCAATTAATATTATATTGTATATTAGTATACACACATTTTGTTTATCCATCAGTTGATGGACAACTGTGTTGTTTGCACTTATTGGCTATAATGAATAACGCTGCTTTGAATATTTGTATTCGTTTTTGTGTCAACGTATGTTCTCCATTCTCTTGGGTATATATCTAGGAGTGGAATTGCTGGCCAGAGTGGTAACTCTATATTTAACTCTTTGAGGAACTGCCAAACTTGTCCAAAGCAGCCGTTCTATTCTATTTATATTCTTCATGCAAACATTTATAATAACTATTTGTTATTATAAGTAATTTCTTACCTAGTGAACTGGATTCTATTTGAGATATTGTAAGAAGTATGTATTTGGTCATTCAGATGACCAAAATATATTTCTCATATATATTTGGTCTTCATCCACAGTCCCTGGCTCACAGCTCCCTAAACCCTTGGAATTTCCTAAGTCTTGAGAGTGATAAAGGTGTCTTCTGTGATGTGAATGAGGTGACTTTCAGAAGCACCGAAGAATGGGGGCTGGTGGCCAGGAGAACCAACCAAGTGATTAGAGGGTTGGAACTTTCAGTCCCACCCCTCCTGATTCCCAGGGAGGGGAGAGGGACCGGAGGTTGAAGTAATCGCTAATTTATGAATTAGCGATTGATTAAGTCCAATGATTTAATCAATCGTTTCTGTGTCACGAGGCCTCCATAAAAACTCAAGAGGACAGGATTGGGGGAGCTTCTGGATGGTGAACACGTGGAGATGCAGAGCAGCAGGCCTGGAGGGGGCATGGAAGCTCCAAGCCCCTTCCTTCACCCCTTACCCTATGCATCTCTTCCATCTGGCTGTTCCTGAGTTATGCCCTTTTGCAGGAATCTAGTAACATGTTTCTCTGGTTTTTTCCGCTCTAGCAATTTAATGGAACCCAAGGAGGGGTTCATTGGGACCTCCAGTCTGTAGCCGGTTAGCCAAAAGCACATAGAGCCTGGGCTTGTGGCTGACTGTGTGTGTGCGCGGGCGTGTGTGTGTGTGTGTGTGTGTTTGGGGGTGGGGGCGGTCTCATAGGACTGAACCCTTAACCTATGGAATCTGAACTTATCTCTGAGTAGATTGTGTCAGAATTGAGTTGAATTCTCTGACACCCTGCGGGTGTCCTGTGAATTGTTTGTCGGAGTGGGGGAAACCTCTCCCACCAATGTTGGAATTGGGTCCAGGAATCCAATTTGCTATTATTTCTGGCACTTAACTAGAAGAGTGGAGCTCAGGAAGCCTAAGTGCCTTGGGCAAAATTGCATGGCTAATCACCTGCAGAGCCAGGATCAGGACCAGCCCCATGTCACTCCCGAGCCTGTACTCCTGTCCACTCAGCTGTGTTCCAGCCAGGAGCCTGCAGGAGGTCCAATGTGATGACACTGTGCTTCTCAAGCCATAGATTGCGCCAAGGGTTCAGAGTCTCCTTTCCCAAGTATCCTCCTCCACTCATTAAAAACACAAACCCGACCATCCATATCTATTCCTTTCCTTCAGAACAAACAAACAACCAAAAAAAGCCAAAAGAAAATAAGAAAACAAAATCAAGAGTTTCCAGTCACCTATCTCACCGCATTGGAAGTCACTGTCCTCACAGAGGTCATTCAAAATGAACCCGGCCTGCCTTTTCAGCTTCATTTCCCATCATTTCGTTTTATTTATTCAAGCAATGTTTACCATGGGCTCATTACACGCCAGGTCCTGTGAGAGGTAGCAGGTATACAAACCACCTACAATGTGATTGCTGCCCCCAAGAGATTTGTATCTCACGGGGAGAAAGGCAGATGTAAACTGATGATTCGAGATCAGGAATCCATAGAGATTAGAATAGTGTTTTGGGGGAGTCCATGGGCAGGGCTCCTAAGTCAGCCTAGGAGATCAGACAGCTTCCAGAAAGAAGTGAAACTTGAGGTGAGTTGTGGAGGGATGAAATGCAGAAGGAACTCGGTCATTCACACAAGAAGGAACAGGTGCAAAGGCAAGGAAGTGCGAAACCAGCTGGCTTTGCATTTCATTCCACAGGTGCTTACTGAGTGCCTCTTAGGTTCTAGGCGTTCTAGGGTGCTAAGCTACAGAGTTTGAGCTTGAACTGGCAGTCAGTGATGAATTTTAAGAAGTGAAACCGTGAGAGCCTGACCCTGTACTCTTGCCAGCGAGAACCCCTTGTGCCTTTTCTGCTGTGATGGCTTTGCTCTTGCCCTCCTCCCAACCTGGAGGGATGGGAAGGGCCATGCTTAAAAGTCAGACAGATCTGAGTCTGCATCCTGCCTCTACTCACCGTGTCCCAGCTGCTAGCTGCCTGTCTTTTCCCTCTGTGAGGTTTAAATGAGACCATGATGTTTTGAGGATTTAATGATCATTTTTCGTTTGGAAAGCGCTCAGCATATAATAGCCACTTAGCAAATCTTAGTTCCTCGCTTGGCTTGGTGGCTCAGCTGTTCAGAGATGCCCTGTTGTCCGATGTCTTCTTGAAACTTTCTGGGCAGTGGCTCACATGCCCAGAGAGCTTTGTGGTCATCACCAATTTTACTTTCAACATACTGTATTAAACTTCTCTCTCTATTGATTTGCCTTTGTCATCTCGTGAATCCATACCCCTGTCCAAGTAGTGACACCCCCTCTCTTTTACAAATGAGTAAACAGGCCCAGGAAGTTGAGAAATTGACCAGGAATCGATCAGTCAGTAAGTGTCTGGAAGCATCCCGTCACAAGGCCTTCTGAAAAAATTACGACAGCGGCAACAAAATGAACATTACGCTTACTAGGTATCAAGCGTTGTGCTTGGCATTTTCCCTGGGTCCTAACACCCAATTCCACCCCTCACCTCCTGGCTCAGAGAAGTAAAGCAAGTTGCCCAAGGTAACCCAGGCTTTTTCCAAATCAAGTTTCCAAATCAAGGCTCAGACCTCGATCTGACTTAACTCCAAAGAAACCTGTGTCATTCTGCTCTTGAAAAACATTACGCTCAACTGCACAGTTTAAAACTCCACCCAAGCTTGACCTGCGTCGCGATCTGTCAGCTGCAGCCCAATCTTTGGTTGTTTTGATCGAGAATACAGAGGGCGCTGCCTGATTGGTCTGGGGGGGCCGAAGGAAGGGGGGTGGGGGGAGGTGAGCGTAGAAATTTTAGGTGCCGGAGCACGTGCGGAAGACCAAGAGGGTGAGTCACGTGCGCGTGAAACTCGACCTAGGAGGAGGGGATGGGAAGGGAGCCCCCGCCCCTACCTCAGGGTGCTGCCCCGGACGGGTATAAGTAAACTATTGACTCTGTAGGTCCACTTCGTCCCTGTCCCGCTTCGCGGTCCGGTGTCTCCCGGAGGGTGCCCAGCTCCCTGACTTGTTCCAAGGGGGCAGCGGAGGCCAGAACACCTAAATGTCAGGCTGAACCCAACCAGCAGAGAAGTGCTGAGCGCCGGTGCTGGTCTGGGCTGCGCCCGCAAAACACGGGACACCTTGAGCGTGGACGTGCCAACAAGGAGCTGCGCTCCCAGAGGCGTCCGCTGCGGCAGGAGGGGCGTTTGGACCCGAGCCCAGGTGAGCAGCGGGTGGGGGGTAGGGGTCCGCGGCCACGTATCCGCTGAGAGCCACCTGGGCTGCCTGACACCCGACACACCCAGGCTCTCCAAGAAAAACCCGTTACCTGAGCCCCTGGGTCCTGCGGCTCCTTGTCTGGTCGCTCTAAGCGCGCCCCTCCCTCCCCTTTACTCCGCTCTTTCCGACTCCCCCTCCCCCTTTCGGCCCCCTCTGGCTACACTTCCTCCGTTCAGAGCGACACTCCTGGGGGTCGAACGGCCCTGCGAGAGCGCCTGAACCCAAAGCCCCATTCACGGATGAGGGTACGGCGTCCCCCCCA